TTAAGAAAAAAAAAGCTAACCTGATAATCAGCAGGGGAATAAGTTAATACAATAGACTGGGTTTTCCTAAGTACCACAAACCTATTATACCTGAAAAAAAATCACAACATATTAGAACATTGATGTAAAAACTTGGTTAAGATGAGTTGGTAAATGTTATTATTTTTTTTTTTTTTGCAAATCTTTACACTTACGCGGGCTTTGTAGAAATTTATGAAAGAGGTGGACATGTTCCATCCAATGGTGATGGAAACAACATAAACAACAAATAAAGCTGTCATTGGATACAGTAAAACATGGGTTTTATGTAGTATTGGCAAACCTGAAGGAGAAAGAACAATACATATAAGGCAATAGCAGTGCAAAGTAAAATTGTTAGTTAATTTCTGTATAATACACTTACAACTGTATCCCAGGAAATTAATATAAATATAATAGCCCAAGGCTATGAGCCATAATGTATTGCACAAGAAGCGCATTATGAATAATTCTCCGCTAAATGGAGCTGTAACCGAAAGGAAACTAGTAAATAAATTGCTATCCAGGTACATTTTAGCAGTATTTGGGGGCAGGAAGCCAAGCCATAAATTACCAAGAAGTAAAAAAAGCTGGAAGCCATGCAATATGACCAGGAGGGGGAAGAACGCATTGAGATGGACATCAAATGCATAGCCCCATTCAACGTCTTGGTCTTCACAAGAATCTCTTCGTAAATAACGGTTGGTGACAAACCTGAGGAAAGTAAAATAATAACATCAGCACTTCTGACAACAAGGAGGCAATAACTAAGACATCGTGTGTGTACTACTCACCAGAAAAAAGTAGCAGTGATAAGACCAACTCCAATGCAATCAACAAATATAACATAAAGTAGAAGTTTGAAAAAATCTTTTAAGAGGAGTCCCAAAACACCATATGTGAACCACATAGATGATACTGAAAAAAAAAAAAAATTTACACTTTGGTTCAAGTGGAGAAAAAATTGTATTACATGTTATCATGGAAGAAGAAAAACTCTTACCACAAAGAAACAAACAAAACAGAACCAAAAATGCAGGATCATCTCTTGCAAACTGCGATTTTGTTTCTGCAACAAACAGGCAATTAGGCAAAAGTCTAAGTCGATAGGATAACGGTAGGGCACTTTAGTTTAACATACCTTTTCTGTAATGAAAATTTCTGTATACTTTTTGAGGTGCTACAAACAAATACCACATTTGCCACAGGGCAAATTCAAAATCCATCTGCTGAAACTTAACAAGTCTCCTCAGATACTTATATCTTTTGGCTGCGGCCGACATACAATCTTGACTGCAACACAAAGGACAGAAATCATCGAAAAATTAAGACACCAAAGAGCGATTGATAAAACAGATGTTGTCAAACAGCACTGCCGTCAAGTGAGACATACCGATATACAGCAGGGGCAGGGAGAGGGGAGCCGGCTCGGAAGCTGCTGGTAGAAAGAGTGGGGCTCCTTGGTGGAGATGTTTGGAACTTATTCAAGTTCATTTTCTATTCTGCAACACTGCAATGACAAAAAAATATGATTCAAGGTTGGATAAACATGCAGTGAAATGGGTGGTAATATTGCTTGACATCAGTTTGAAAAATTTATTAAAATGTTAGGAAGACTGTTTAGACTCAGAATGATGAAATGTCAGTGAAACAATAAAAATTCATAGATAACATAACCTAGTATTAAGGTAATCTAAGTTTGTCACGTTCCCGCTTGCAAAGCAGCGAAATAACAAATTCGACGTTAGATCAATAAGGCTAAGCTACGTTCAGTACTCACAAAATAAAAACAATATTTGAACAAACAGTGACAGACCATAGTAACAATATCTTCTTAAGCTGTCATCAATATTTTGAGACGATGTTCAGTTGTTCTGCCCGAGTACCACTTCCCCCTCCCCTCTGTTCAAACACGGTCGTGCCAACATAGGAAACAAAAACGTCGAACCGAGAGTAGGGAAACAAGATTTCAAATTGTTAAGTCATGTTGGCAGCAATGCTAGGAGAGATTAGTTGTGACAAGTGCCGAAAACTTTGTAATTTTGCACTGAAATTGTTGGATTTTGAAAGAATGAATGCACTTAAACTTGGTGGGTTGCGGTGCGATTCCAGTTTCTGACCTATCCGAAGCAGATGTGCATGGCATACGTGCAACAGCACGGAGTTGGCATCGTGTGCATTCTAGAAGTGTTGTGTTTAGCCTTTAGTGCGTGCCTTTAGCCGGTAGCAGAACAGATTGAGTGAAGCGAAAGTGATCGTATGCTGCTGTCGTCCCAGGTTCGCGGTGTATACGTCAAAGAGGAGAGGGTAAGTTGGACATCAGCAAAAATTTATTTCGTTGGGAATTTAAGGTTAAGTTTGTAAATCTGCATGCGTGTATTTCGACTACAAAAATGGGAGCATCCTTCCCATCAAATCAGGAAGCAAATCTCGCCAAGGAGGCCGTAGTCCCCGCGACGGCGTCCTCGACTGAGCCTGGGCTTCTTGCCGAACTCGCTGCCCCTCGTGTCCTCTGACTGCGACGGTGTCTGGCGAAAACAGAGAATAAAATACGTACAGGCAAAGGAAGAGAAGGGGGTGGGCGGGTTAGATCTGGAGGCACGCGGTTCTCACGCCACTCTCTCGAGGACGGCGACGACGGCCGTGGCGAGGAGGCCGCCCACCATGAGGGCGATGAGGGGCAGCACGGGCTCCAGCCCGATGGGGTCGCCCTCGCCGTGCGCGCCGCCCCCGCTGCAGCGAGCGCGCCGCTGGCGCCACTTGAAGCGCACGCGCTGCCACACCCCGCGCTCGCGCTGCAGCAGCACCCTGCGGGACAGACCACAAGCGCGTGACACGCCGGCCGACACATCAGCCTTCATGGTGGGCTGCGTGTCGGTCTACATGACGGCCTGCACTACGGCCTCGGCGGCGAGCTCACCCGGCGAAGAGCAGCTCGGTGAAGGCGCAGTGGCGGCCGACGAGCGGCGCGATGTGCTGCGGCGGGTTGACGTCCAGCTCGTGCAGGCGGCAGGCCTGGCTCGCGGTCAGCGGCTCGGTGCTCTTGTAGACGGACTCCTCCGAGCCGATGATGGCGTGCAGGGGCCGGAGCAGCACCTTGTACAGCCCCGACGGCGGGAAGTAGCCGAGCCCCACCGGCGGCCGGATCTTCTTCTCGTAGAGGTCGCGCTGCAGGCCCGGCGACGCGTTCTGCGGCAGGGTGGCAGGGCGAGAAGTCAGGGGCGGGGCGGGCCGCGCCGCCGGGCACCGGAGCGCAGCGGGTCTGCCTACGCTAGGGGCTCCCTCCAGGAGGTTCAGGTTCAGGGGCCAGGCGGGCCGCGCCGCCGGGCACCGGAGCGCAGGGGTCTACCTACGATGCAGGTGCTCCCTCCAGGAGTTGCAGGGGCGGGGCGGGCCACCGGGCACCGGGGCGCTGCGGGTCTACCTACGCTGCTGGGGCTCGATCTGCACCAGGAAGTATCGTAGTTGACGGCCCCTCGGAATCGAACCCTTGCGGCTTGCAATATATGGCCATCCAGAGTTATTTTATTAGTTTTGCACCGATGACACATCTTTATCCCGATGACCAAATGAGGAAAGGTTTACCCACATTTCCTCTTGCCGTAAGCATGGGATGTCGGCTGTCAGAGAGAACTGATAATAAGAGCTTACGCCATGAGAGAAGGGCGCCCTTCTCTCATGCTTACGGAACTGTTGTGCGCTGATTCGTGAGGTAGTTAAATACTATACTCTACTTTTTGTGAATATTGAATCCCTGAATCGACCTCTCTTGTCGCGCGGACCGACCTGGAAGTTGCGGACCGTCAGCCACCAGTCGTTGAGCGCGACGGGGTAGTTGGAGTCGAGCAGGTCGTGGACGTTGCGCACCGAGGGCGGCGGCGGCCGCAGCAGCGACTTGACGATGGTGGAGTTGTAGTAGCCGTCGAGCAGCATGAAGAGCACCTCGGAGACGATCAGGAGGCCCTGGCAGGACACCCAGCTGCCGGAGGAGGCGAAACCTGGAAGCGCGAACCGTTTTAGTGGCGCGGGCATTCGGGACAAAGATGCCGGGCGGGTTACGCGGCTCCGGGACCTTGGCCGGTGAACATGCCGACGGTGGAGAGCAGGCTCTCGCTCCAGTCGATGCGGTCGCCCTCGACGTGCCGGAAGCACTTGTGCAGGACCATGCCGGCGAGCGCGACCCCCCCGACGGCCAGCCAGGCGAGCAGTGTGAAGGGGGTGAGGAGGGCGTCCACGGAGCCCAGCGAGCCGTCCGCCAGGAACAGGCACGCGCTCCTGTATGGCAAGCTGCATGGCTAAACCGATATCTGAGGGGAAACTGATTATTTAGCTGTGTCGTTAAGAATAGCTATGTTAAGCTGCATAGCTATGTTTGTAGACATACAGCTAACACTTTAGCTAAGCAGCATTGTTTTTGCAACAGCTATTTTTTTGGGGGGCGACTTGATAATTTTTTGTGGCTTACTTTTTAGCCGCGTAGCTAAATAATCAGTTATCCCTCGTATAGCTAAATGTTTTAGCTATGCAGCTTATCTCGCCCGCTCACCGGAAGTGGTACGTGGTGGCCGAGTACTTGAAGACCTGCAGGCGGCCATCGGACATGAGCAGCCCCGTGACGACCACGTCGTCCACGCCGCGCTGTACGTTGCCGCACGCCCCGGAGAAGTGCCCGGACGGCGGCGCCGCCAGCTCCCCGGAGATAAGGTGCTCGTGGTGCCGCACCCTCCAACACAACATGGCTGTGTAGCTAAAAACTTAGCTATGGCACAAAATATTTTGCTATGTCGCTCAACATTTAGCTACATAGTCAAATAATTAGGTCCCGTATTTAGCTATTGGTTTAGATATGTATAGCTGATCAAAATTTTTCCGTGTCTGGCTGGCTGGCGGACGACTTACGACATGTTGAAGCGGTCGAAGGTGTTGGCCATGATGGTGAAGGTGGCGATGCTGAGGTGGTTGAAGTGCTTCATGACCTCGTCGGTTGGCAGGTCTAGCACGCGCTCCATCAGGTCTTTGCCTGTCTTCGCCTCGCACTTGCGTCAGACACAGGCAGCATAGATAGATGCTTTGTACGGGATAACTAATAGCAGTGTAGCCAAAAATTAGGTACGTAGCCATCGCCAAACTTGGCTAATTTCTAAAAAGGTTAATAGCTAAAGAATTAGTTCTCCCGTATTTAGCTAGCTATATTCGTTTAGCTGTGTAGCTAATGATGTGCTACCCCTACTGGTACTTGTGTCTTACGTAGACGGAGGACTCGACGCGCAGCTGGCGCGGCCCTGCGAGCACGCGGCGGAACTGGGTGCGACGGTCCGCGAGCGGGTCCCCGCCCGGGGAGGACACGGGGGCCACGGCGAGCTCCGGGTCGGCGGCGACCAGCCCGCCCGCCGGCGACCAGGAAGCGAACGGCCGCCGCACGGCCGCGTCCTCCGCGTTGACGCGGAACACCTCGTCCACGCGCCAGGCCCGGTCGCCGTCGTCCTGCGCCGCGAGGAACACCTCGCTGTCGAGGCGCAGCGCCCAGGAGGCGGTGCGGGCCGCGGCGTCCCCGTCCACCACCAGCCACACGTAGCTGCCGTTGAACCACGCACGGTCACCCTGGTTCAGAGATGTAGCGAACGAGCTAGAAATTTGCGGTGAAAATTTCACATATTTTTGTTTTATATCTGAAAATTGACATTTTTACTGTGATGCATCTAGCGACACAGAATTTGAAAGTTTACCGTCTTTACAATAACCCTGTCGCTCATAACGTGAGCGACCCGCTCACCGGGTCGAACCAGGGCGGCGGCTCTCCGGCCTCGAGCACCACGCCGACGTAGGGCCGCTCGCTGGTGTCCAGGACGTGGGCGACGGTCGTCGAGCCCACGGTCTGGGACACCTGGAAACGGCCGTCCGAGGAGAGCGCGCGGTACACGCCGAACGTCGCTGGATCAAGCAAAAACGTTCCTTTTTGACGGATTTCGTTTCTTTGCGAGGATCTGCTTCTCGAGGGTGTCCAACTTGTCGTCAGAGAGGATCACCTGGTCCGCCCGCGCGCAGCGCCACGAGCACGGCCCGCACGCCGCGCGCCGCGAAGAGGTCCGCTGCCAGGGCGGCCACGTCCTCGCCGGCCAGGTGCCCGGCCGCGGCCAGGACGAGCACGGCGACGGCGGCGGCGCGGCGCGGCCCCGGGACCATGACGGCGTGGTGGGTCGTTGCTGTCGGTCGCGTGAGAGCGGCGCCAACTTGTCGCCTCGCGTGTCGCCGCTTCTTCAAAGTCCTGGCCCGCCTGCACCAATATTGCAGCACTCTGTCCTCGGGGAGGGGGAGGGGGG